CAGGAATGCATTTCTCCCACCCTCCGGACCCAGTCATGATCCTCTCAGCATTTGCTTTGGTGGCACGTGGAGAGCAGTACCAGATGAGCCATCGCTGGTACCAGGGATCCTGTGTGGCTTTATGCTGACCAACCCTCACAAGACTTTTTTTTCTTTTCTTTTTGATATCCCCCTGGAATTCTGCGTTTTAGAAAATAATATCTAGTAGAGGAAAAATGGGTGCTCCAGGGCAGGGGCTAGGGGAACTGATCCCTAGGAAGAAGACTACTGCAAGGGGTAGAGTGGTCTCTACAATGCCCTCAGCCCACAAGCCATGATACCTTAGCCTTGAGCACCCACCCATGCCCCCAAACCTGGCCCCTTGGATTCGGTACCCACTCTAACTCCAGGCACTGGGGAGCACTGCAGCCTTGACCAAGCCCTACCGAAGGCCCATCTCACACATAAACTGGCAGGGAGTGGGAGAAGGGGCAGAGACAACAAGGATACCACAGGGGGCCCGCCCTCGCCTTTGCTAAGCCTCCCTCCAGGAGGGGCAGCTGGGTGCTGCCGGGAGCCCCTATCTGGGTTCCGAGGAGTTCTTGGCCTCTCCCTTCTGTCACCTAATCCCCTGTCTCCTGCCTCAGGCCATGGGGAGAAAGCAGGAAGGACAGCAGGCAAGCTGTCCCAGCAGACCAGGTACTGGCCTCTTCCCAGAGGTGTGAGGACTCTGAGCCCCTCCTGGCCCACACAAGGACAAAAGGTCTGGGAGCAGCTGACCCTCCCTTCCCTCACAGCACTCCTTGCTGGATGTGCGGAAGCCCCAGGCTCTCTGCCGCCTCAGTGCCCCAGCTCATTGCTCCCTGGGCATGGGAGGCACCGGTGCTGGAGCCATTGGCATAAGGAGCAGCAGGGCTGAGCCAGAGCCGGAGCCGCGGGCCAGGTTGGACTGCGCACCCTCCAGCTGCCCAAGCCGAGCAGAGGAGGACGGAGGGAGGGCTGGGCTGGCAGGAAAGGGGCTTGCCCAGATGGTGCTGACCCCACCTCAGGGCTTCCTGCACTCCCACCCCACCAGGGCAGAGCTGTTGCCATCCTCCCAGATGCCCCAACTCCCCCAGCGCGACCCCAGGACCTCTCAGAACAAAGAGGAGATGCCGACGCCCGCACAACCAGGGCTGGATGGAGCTGGGCTGGGACCCAGGGCAAGAGACAGGAGGGGACTGCCCACTGGGCCTGGCCCCACCCCTCCTCAAAGTGGGATCCACCTGGAGGTGCCTGGGGGAGCAGGAAGCCCGCAGCCCACCTTGCAGAGGTGGGGGGCCGAGAAGGAGACCTCTTCTTCTCAGCCGGTTCCTACCTCCCACCAGCTCTGCTTCGGAATGAAAAGTGGGGCAGGGGGAAGTGAGAAGCCTGGGCTGAAGACGAGGGGGAGGGCCCCCAATGGTTCCTGGGTCCTCGTCCACCCCAACTCCCTCTCCACTCTCCTAGCCCCTATTTCCCCTTTCCTCCCCTTCACTGGGCAGGAGCTGGAAAGGGGCTGCCCCTTGTTAGGGGATGCAGGTGGCGCCCAGCCCCGTGCCTGTGGAGAAACCTGGTCCCTGACCTGCATCCACCGGCTTGGGGGTGCCTGGGGCAGGCTAGGGCTGCCTGGGGGTGTCTGGGGTCTATGGAGAGAGGCAACCACCCAGTGCTGAGCAGGGGGCTTACCCTTCAGGGTGACCAGTGCTCAGAATGGGAGGTGGGACAGAGGACGAGAAGGACTGTGACCCCTCCCCAGCTCCGGGGGTCCCAGCTAGACAACCTGGAATTTGTTGGGTGGGAGGGGCGGGAAAGAAGAAATCTTCATTTCTGAGGCTTCGGGGTGGGGTGGGGGCGATCAGATCTGTGACCCCCAAAGCGAGTTTGGATGACGCTGGGGTGCCCCACAGCCCCAAGATGGGCACAGCCCGGGCCGACGGCGGCCCCCAGGGGCGCTCGCCGTGGGGCTGCCCACTCGGGGCTGGGCCGCGGCCGCCGGGCTCACCTGCATTTCGGGCGCGCTGTCCGTCCGCTCCGCTCGGTCACCAATCGCATGTCTCCCCCGCCAGGGCCCCAGCCCCTGCCCAGCCCCTGCCCAGCCCCCTCCTTCGTCTCCTCCTCCTTGTCCGCCACCTCCGCCCGGCAGTCCGCGCGCCCTCGCGGGGCTAGCAGTCCGTCTGCCTGCCCCACGCGGGCAGGAGCCAAGCCGGAGCCGGGGCTGGGGCAAGAGCCGGGGAG